TCCAGTCACTCTCAAGAAGATCGGTTCCAGAGACCATGCTGTGCATCAAGGTGAGTCCATCTATATCTAGTCGGTATCTCAGTTGGTCCCTCAACTCAATTTACAACATTTCTTCAAAGAGAAGACAGGCTTTAGGCGAGCCGATTTGCCCTGTTGGCACGCACGCAGCTGGATATCTCATAGACTGGATGACTTGATGATGCTAATCTCTACTGCCATATGTGGATTTTAAGGACGCATATTTAATTGGATTTTTGATAACTGGTTCCTGCTTTTTTGGATTCGGCTGGTTGCTGGTTTTATATACATCAAGGAAGTCGTCGGCAGCAAATTTGGACCCGATCACGCTGCTTGCCTTTATGATGGCTTGGTTCGTGTCTCAAGTACCCAGACTCAAATGCTTTGGGCTGAATGGATCAGATCTTGGGGATTTTACTCAGTCACGTTCCATCGGTGTGGCCATGTATTTTGGACATTTCAGAACGGAGTCGACCAACACAGACTGAAGGTAGATGTCATTAAGTTCTGCCTGTCCCCAAAACAACTGTGTTTATCTGAATTTGACTCCCTTGGCTGGCCTTGAAGGCCATCTTATCTGAATTCGCCTGGAGAACATGTGATCTGACGCTCACCACCCCCTCCCTGAAGAATTTCCAACTGATAACCAGATGGAACTAGCTGAATAAACTTTGTGTCATCATTTCAGGACTCTTGGATTCTCATAGATGTTATTCTTGGCCATTCCTCAACATACCTAGAGAATGTTTATGGATCTCACCGGAGGACATTGACTGATTATTACATCCTAATCAGAACTCTTACAGTGACCTTGAGAGTATCTATGAACATTGCTGACCGCTCTTGTTTCCTCCGTCTGCAGAATGTCTACGTCACTATGTGCTGTTTGTGTGAGGTGTTTTTTTTTTAATATTAGAGGTTTTTTTTTTTCTCAGGCAGGAAAAAAAAAGTCTGATAGGAATTTTTTTCGCCTCCCTACATGTGTCCAGTTAACCACTGTTTTTGTCTGTCCAAACAGGTCTCACTTGCAGTGTTTCCCCTACCATTATACAGGCAGGGTGCCCCACCCCGTCAACAGAATTGAGCACCCCGCCTACCAAACTGAACTTACCTCTCCCACCTCCACCTGGCACTGACATATCACTAAGCTAGCAGCACAAAATACAGCCTCTCTAGCTAAAAACACTCCCGCTCAAAACTGTTAGTACAAGCTGCGCTCAGACATGTCTCCGTTCACCCCATCAGCAAACATCATGGATGAGATAAGCACCCCGCCATGGCAAGCTAACTTGGGGAGACACTGACTTGTAAATGAGTCTTTAGTTTGAGGCTCAATGTGATTGATCTGTTTAAATAAAGGTTGAATGAATCTCTCAACCTTGCGCACAAGCTCAAGCTCCTTCCCTGCCAGAGAGGTTATATTCCATGGCCCAAGAGCCAGCTTTGGTAAGCCAGGGTCAGAGCGCCAAGGTTCTTCGACCACTGCCCAAAGCATCATACACGCGACTTTTATGGCCCCTCCTGCAGGTGGTGGGTACACAGGAAGGCAAACCCATGCTGCTGCTTCGGGCTGAGCCCGACCTGGCCCCATGTGTAGAGACCCGGTGACCAGGTGCTCGCTGACAAGCCCTTCCCCCATGCCTGGCTCCAGGGTGGGGCCCCGGTAACCCACGTCTGGGAAAGGGACACTGAGTTCCTTGTTTTGTTTGTCCATAAAAATCTTCTGAATCGGTCTTTGTCTGGCCTGTCACCTAGGACCAATCTGCCTCTCAACATTTACCATGAAACCAATATTAACCAAAACATCAACATGTACGATCAAACCAATATTAACCAAAACATTAACGTTTACCATCAAACCAATATTAACCACATTAACATTTACCATCAAACCAATATTCATTCAACCTTTATTTAAACAGATAAATCACACTGAGCCTCGAAGACTCATTTACAAGTGAGATCTGCTTAGACAGACAAGAAGTAGTGAAAGTGGAACACGTAGGAATTGGAGGCAAAAAATTCCTATTAAACTTTTTCTTCTTGACTGAGAAGAAAAACTAATATTAAAAAAACACAAGCACATAGTGATGTAGACATTCCACAAAGCTAAATTTTTACAACCGCGTACGCGTACTCTGTGTCGCACAATAAATTACCCAGCGACGGACTGTTTCGGATGTGACACCAATGTATTAAATTCCCCTTCTTCATCCCTGATCTGGCCTTTCCTTTTGTTTATTTTTGCCAAAAGGCAGTGATCTCTTCCTCCTGGTGAGAAATGAAAGAATTTGTCACGAGAGAATTAAAATAAAGTCCAGCTTGGCTGCAGGAGGGTCTGGAGATTTCCTGGTGGTCTGGTCTGATGTGTGGGCTGCAGGGCTAGCGCTCCCTGTTTTGTTTTTTTTTTAGAACTTTTTAACAACATATAAACACTTAACACCGCTGCGGCTGCCAGCTCTCTTTTTTTTTATTTTGCGACCTGTCAATCAATCCAGTAGGCATGTCAGCAAATGACCAATCGGTGACCTCAGTTTGTCCCGAAGATAAACGCCCCTTGACTGTGGAGCTGCTCTACAGCTGCTCAGGGTGGACGCTTGAGCATGAAGTCTCAACCCTCTGTGGACAGTGCGCACAGTTTCCACGTGGCTCACAGGATGTGCGAGTATACTGGAGGCTTAACAGCCTTAGGATAGAAGCTGTTCCTCAGTCTAGTGGTTCTACACTTAATGCTCCTTAACCTCCTTCCTGAGGGGAGTGGGGCAAAAAGTGTGTGCTGGGTGAGTGGGGTCCTTCATGATGCAGATGGCCCTCTTCCTGCATCTGGAGGTGTAGATGTCAGTGATGGTGGGGAGACTGACTCCAACAGACTTCTGTGCAGCCTTCACCACTCTCTGCAAAGCTTTTCTTTCTGCAGCTGTGCAGCCTCCATGCCACACGTTGATGCTGGAGCACAGGATGCTCTCCACTGCACACCTGTAGAAGAAGGTGAGGACTGAGCTTCCCAGTCCAGCTCGTCTCAGTCGTCTGAGAAAGTAGAGTCTCTGATGAGCTTTCTTGATCAGGCTAGTGGTGTTGTTGCTCCAACTGAGGTTGTCATTCATGTGCACACCCAAGCTGGAGACCACTTCCACCGCAGATCCTCCTATGTTCAGGGGGAGGGTGTAGGTGTGTTTGTTCCTTCTGAAGTCCAAACCATCTTCTTAGTCTTCTTCACATTGATGTGAAGGTTATTCTCTTTGCACCAGCTCTCCAGGTGTTCCACCTCCTTCCTGTAGCTGGACTCATCATTATTTGTGATGCATCCCACCACTGCTGTATCATCTGCAAACTTTACAATGTGACAGCCTGGATGGGTAGCTGCACAATCATACGTGAGTAGAGTGAACAGGAGGGGGCTCAACACACATCCCTGAGGAGAGCCAGTGCTGAGGGTTATGGTGGAGGAAGAGAAGTTGTGGATCCTCACAGACTGCTGTCTGTTAAGAAGTCTAGGACCCAGTTGCAAATAGAGGGGCTTAGTTCTAGCGTGAGTAGTTTGTCCATCAGTGTTTGGGGGATCATGGTGTTGAAGGCAGACGTGTGTTAATCTGACCCTGCTGCTAACAGAAAGAGGCTAACAGCTAGCTGCTAACAGACAGAGGCTAACAGCTAGCTGCTCACAGACAGAGGATAACAGCTAGCTGCTAACTGAGAGAAGATAACAGCTAGCTGATAACGAAGAGAGGATAACACAGCCCCTTTCCCCAGCGTTAATACACCGCTCCCCGCGCGGACTTCCGTTTATACTGTCATATTGATCATCGACCAGAAACTCACCTTCTGAGTATCCATCACCTGACAGAGTTCTTCTAACCAGAACTGATATCAGAAAATAAGAGTAGCCTTACTTCCTGTTCAGACTGTCAAAATAAAAGATATTTAATGTATATTTTTCTGAAAACAAAAACAATCTATCAAGTGATGCAAGATATCAGTTGTTAATCAATACTGATCAGCTGAACTAATGTTTGATGATCCAAATTCTGATAAAACATCTTGTCATGGAAAGTGGACCATGAATCATGAGCTATGACTCTGCAGCCGAAAAGGAAGAAGCAGGTAAAGATAAAGGATAGATGGATGGACTCTGTAGCCAGCAGCACAGTTGGTAGAGCTGTCAACTCTCATCAAGAAGGTTGCTTGATCGAATACCGGCTGGGGACCTTTCTGGTTGGAGTCTGCATGTTCTTCTCTCCGGCTGTGTGCGTTTTCTCTGGTTAAACCCACAGACCAAAAACATGCATGTTAGGCTTGCTGGTAACGCTGAATTGCTCTGAGATTGTTTGTCTCTGTGATGGACTATCGCACATTGACTGCTGGTGATGGACACTGACCCCCACAAAGGAAGAAGCAAGTAAAGATAATGGATGGATGTTCTGCTACAGTAGAGGCGCCCCCAGTGTCAGATCAACAAAGGCAGCAGAGGCCACGCCCACAATGTGTCAGAACAACAAACACAGCAGAGGCCACGCCCTACTGCTGTTTAGCATTAAAGTTCATTGTTTTGCAGTGTCCTTTCTGGGCCACCATACAGTAGACACAAACAGAGACACAGTAAGTAGTTCAAGTGTTAAACTTTATTAAACACCTTCAGTTCAACAATTTCATCTTTGAGTCCTTTTCTCTTAAATTATGTCTGCAGGTTCACAACAATAACTTAGTTTACAGTGTTTATTGTTTCCATAGCAACAAAGCAGGAAGTATCAGAAACAGGCTCCAAATAAAACTAGGATATAATGAGGGCGGGGGCAGAGTAGATAAGATCGGAAGAGCGTCG